CATGGCTCACATGCCAGTGGCATGCAAAGGTAGTTGTACTTAAATAGTATTTGGTGATGTGATAAAATGATAGAATGGCTTTCTGGAATAACTAATTTGAAATATTTCTCTCATCTTTTTATTTCTTAATGCTTTTTTGAAAGATGACTAAAGATATTGGAAGCCAATTTTTTATTACTTAAATAATTTTGTACTTGATAAATTACAAACTTTAATAGGCTGGTTTCTCTTTAAACTCAGTGTGCTTCTGGGCTGCTGTTCCTTACCATTTATTAGTTCATGTGATGCACATTTTAATTTCAATAATAGCCTTTTGAAAAATGTAGTGATACCAACCATTGGAAAACACAAGGAATTAATTTTTACCTAGAAATCAAAAGTTCTGTATCTGAAGCCTCTTGAAAACAGAACAAACGTGGAACATTTTTTTGCCTTTAAACAAAGTAATTTAGAAATTTGTTCGTTAATCATTTACTTGGTAGCAGGATAAGGAAGCTTTGATCAATGCTGTGTGAAGACAGATCCATTGCTCATAAAATACAATTTCATTTTTCCCTGGGCTTTAGACCTCAGATTAAGTTGTCTCGTGGGATATGTAACTCCTCACAAAGTACAAAATAGTACCTATGATAACCTAGTTTGACAGCTAACCATTTTAGTACATAAGAAAGTATATGCATCTCGAGCAGAAAATAATGTCAATTTTAGGATTATCCTTGCCTCTACTTACTGTTCATCTGTTGCACTGTGAATAATTATAATAATAATAATATATTTGTATGACTTGTACTTGGGTTATATTTGCAGTACATTGACTGTCTCTGATGACACAGTTGAAGGTGAAGAAAAGAAAGAATCTCCAGTTGGAACAGTTACTTCAGATCCTCATCAAGATGTTGAAATAAGCTCAGTGGAACAAAATGTAGATGACAAAATGCAAGATAACACAAAGTCTAAACCAAAAAAAACAAAAAAGAAGGCTAAAGCAGGTTTGTTATCCAAATTAAGTGAAAAAATTGTGTGCCTTGGTAGAAATAACTTGATTCTAGGAATTTTCGTCCTTAAAACTAAAACTGGAGGATGTAATTGAAAATAATTCAGTGTAGAATGTTTGGTACTTGTTTTTGGATTCATCTAGATTAAACCATTTATTTATTTGTAACTG